CACATTTTCTAACAACCGAATGTTGTAGAGTTAAGCAGTTGTCCGTGAGGTTAGCATCCTTATCTCATTAATCTCTCTACGCACTCTTCTCACACTTATCTCACCTTTAACACATTTCTCTTATTACTTTATATCTCTCTATACACACTGACTAATCTTTATCTCACCTTTAACACATTTCTCTAATTACGTACACACTCTGACTAATCTTTTCTAACACATACATAACGGTTAGCAGATATTATCCTCTTTGGACTTTCTTTTTTGGGCTTCCCCTCAAGATTTTTAAAACGCGTCTGCTAGAGAGAGATTTACATACACTTATAAAGAATGTTTCGTTTTCCTCACCAACCGATGTGAAATCTCACAATCAACCCCTCTTTGGGGCCTAGCGTCCTCGCTGGCATTCATTCCCTTCTCCAATCGATATGGGACCCCCCAAATCCACTCCTATAGGGCCCAGCATCCTTGCTGGCACACTGACTCGTGTCTCTCGGGACTCAACCTCCTAGCTGGCACATCGCCTAGTATCTAGCTTTGATACCATTTGTAGTGGCCCAAGCCCACCGCTAGTAGATATTGTCCTCTTTGGACTTTCTCTTTCGGACTTCCCCTCAAAGTTTTTAAAACGCTTCTGCAAGAGGGGGTTTTCACACCCTTAAAAAGAATGTTTCGTTCTCCTCCCCACCAATTTGGGATCTCACACATAATCTCATTAATTTCTCCCCCATAGAAGTCCTCTCCGTAGCTCCTCTACATATATGCCTTTTCTCAATAACTTTTACCTACACTTTTTTCCTATGTTCTTTATCCACACATTTTTCTTCTGTTAATCTCTCTTTACACACTCCTTCACAATTATTTATTTACCCACACTTTATCTATAAATGCTTTCTCGCTCAACATTTTCTCTCTTTTTTTTTTCCTTTTTTTTTTTTTTGAGTTTTGTTGTTTTCCTCAGTAACTTGTCAATCCTAGAATCTTTTTTTAAGCAAATATTAATCTTTTACACAAGAAGATTAAAAAGATTAGATGAAAAGCCCCTTTGAAATATTGGAACCAACCAACGAATTGACTATTATAAGCTTTTCTAATTTCGCAAGTACCAAAAAAAACTTTTTTTTTTTTTTCCTTTTTAACAAATGCTTCTTTCATATAATCTCCCCAACTCACCCTCAAAGCTCTACCATGAAGTACCTTAATAATAGAATGCAACCAAAGGAAGTAACAAAAACCATAGAAACGTAGAATTTGATCAATATATTACTGACCATCCAAGAGGATATATAAGGATACCTGAATATCAATGTCAGACTGTCCACCCTGAGCACCACCAAGCGGCTGATGGATCATTATCCTTGAATTTGGCAAGCTGTATCTTTTTCCTTCATAAGTAAACGAGAAGGTGCAGACTTAATACGCAATATACGTCATTTATTTTAAAAGTGAAAAACATTTCATTCAAAAAGCTACAAAAATAAAATTTAAAAGATGAATAACACGAAAAAACTTGCACCTTTAGTTCCAGCGCTAAGCAGGAAAGCTCCCATACTGCATAATAGAATAAACAGAAAACCCATTGTAAGAACAAACTATCACTTCAAAAATGAAAGGGAGAAATTATAGAAAACAGCTCTAGGTTAGGAAACCTCCTCCTAGTCATTCATGCTTCCCCTTTTTATCCATCCTAACCTATTGATACAATTGCACGAGAAAAGTTGAGTCCATGATACATGCATCACGGCGAACTTTGAAGCACTGTAAAGATATTTTTTTGCCAGTTTGGTCTTTAAAAAATATGTGTGCCATTCTAAAACACCAGGTTTTGAGCCTACCAACACCGCTTGGACCAGCTCGAGCATTACCTCATTGAAGTACTACAGGTACGTGCAATAATGAAATAAGGTCAAACTAAAACTAAAACATTTGGACTGGCCTAAGTTGATCAATTTTGATTTATCTGCCTCCCTGTTGGGAAGATAATAATGAAGGCTCCAGCCTTTAGAATACACCCTTTTTAATACTATGACTATTAATTTAATTTTTAAAGATATAATGAATTGGAAGCAATATTATCATTAGCAAATAAATGATATTGATGCTGGTCTAATACCCCAAGCACGTCATATTATTATGAATTACCAACCATGTACTTGTTTTCCAAGTTTTTATTTATTTATAAACTGTGACCTTTAATTTTTCAGCCTTCAATACTATCTATTGCTGTATCAATGCATATAATTGATGTTTAATTATTGTATTATGTTCTTAAAATAGTGTTGTATAACTTAAATAAGTTTATTATAAAGTTACACAAAAAAAATCTTACAATATTTTTATGTTTTCGTGATATCCGTGATCTTTTTCCAAAATATCCATCGATATTCAGATAGCCGTCAATATATCCATAAATCTGAATTTCATCGATAATGATATCAACATTGATATTTTAAATCTTGACAGGAAAAGATGATTGGAACCAAGTGAAAGTTATCTGCCACTATTTTCGATAATAATTCTTCCCAAAGACAATTCAGCAATGACACACTCAATTGTAAATGACACTTGTGGAAATAAAAGGAGAAAAGCAGATTAAAAAGCTTTAAAAAGTAGTGATCTGATGGATCTTGTACCTGGCTGCGAGTCCCACGCAGACAGTAGAGACATCGGGTCTAATATGCATCATAGTGTCAAAAATGGCCATACCTACATAGATCCAAGTAATCATTAGTTAGAAGACAAAGCCAGTTCCAATTTCTAACAGATCAAACAATCGTGGAAATGGTTTTCCAATTTCAACATTACCAGCTGTAACTGATCCACCAGGGGAATTTACATACATTACAATATCCTGTTATACATACCAAAAGTACTAGGTTAATCAATTAGTTATGTAGAAAACAAGATGAACTATACATGATCTACTTCCTTAAAATGAATTGATAACAAAAAAGAGAACCTTATTGGGATTAACAGCATCAAGGTATAGAAGTTGAGCGACAATGATATTTGCCATATCATCATCAACGGCTCCCCCACAACGAATAATTCTCTAGTCCATAAGTAAACAAAAGTATCAAACGAACGTGATAACAACCTATAAGTGCTACACCAAACCCGGTTCAAGGAAATAAATATTGCAGACCTACACCCTTACATATTGAAAAAGCTGGCCTATAACACTTTGGAAGCGTTCCTGCACCATTGGAGGAGGACCTTGCCCTTGCGCATAAGCATCATCCCTGTGAATCATGCAGAATATGATTTCAAAATCCATTAAGAAGCATTTCAATAACTGATAATGACTGTAGCTTTCTTTGGCCCCAAAAAAACGAATGGGGAGCTCCAAGTTAATCAATCTATGCACCTTATAGACCAAATGCCTTGGCGACAATTCCTACCCAGTGATGAAAACTCGCCTGAGTAGATGGCTTTGACTAGAGAATTCCTGAGGTTTCTTCTACCACCAACTATTTTTCCTAGTTTCCTGCAAATAGTGGATACTACAATCAAAGATGATAGATAAACAAGAGAAGACTAGGCTTATGCAACAGAAAATAGGATATCGACAGCAAAAAGGTTTAAATACAAAACCAAACTCTCCCAGTCTCGTCATCCATAAAAAATCACCTAGGCGTGTTCTTGGCACTAGTAATCTCCAAATACCCAAACTCCATCTGGACATTGAAACCCTTCCATTTCAAAATCAAACTAAAAAATACACCAATTCAGACAATCCATTGCAATGTCATCAAAGAGCCCACCCATTCATAATATTTGACATTCAAAAACATCCAATTCAAGGGAATTACCCTAATAGCACCAACATTGCATCGAAACACAAAAATAAACGAAAACCACCCAGAAGAGGTACCTCGAATGAAAAGGCAGAACAGGAAGAAAGAGCTTGTGGGACTCGGGAGAGGAGCTAGAATTCGGAACTGAAACGAGGGAGTTTAATCGGAAAGACGAGGCAGACGTGTAGGCGAAAGTATGGGCCATTTTCGGAGCTAAAGGTTCCAACAAAATCTCAGCGCAAAGCAATAGAGGAAGAAGAAATTATGGAGAATTAGCGTCCGGCGTGAGTTGGGAGCAACGTCCGAAGAGGTCTTATCCGCTGGAAGAAGCGAACGACGGTGAAGATAGAGAAGAAGAAGAAGAAGATGGGTCGAGCAAGTAATTTGATGGCAGCGACCCCTGTGAATATCTCCTTCAGGGACTCCACAGATAGCCACTTCACAATCACGCCCCGAGCCCGACATGTCGTGGGCTGCAACCCATATTTTGGATATGGATCTTATGGGCCGGGCTTTTCGTTTTGTATGAGCCCAATTGATCCAATATAGTGACTTTTTGACACCTCCTTTATTAATCATTTTATTTTTTGTTTTCTATTTTTAATTATGTTGCAAGTCTTTTTTTTTATCTTTCTTTAAAATATTATAAAATTGAATTTAGTTATTTATTTTGAGAATTAAAACTCAAATAAATGAGGAGAGTTTTTATCTTCTTATCAAAAAGGGAAAAAAATGAGTTTCCTAAATTAAAAAATGTGAGCTTTTTATTCACTTAAATATACTCAATTGGTCTAAATTATTAATAATCAAGTACATATTAAAACAGTAAAAATAAAATATGTATTCGTTTGGATAAAAAATCAATTTAAAACTAACAATATAACCCATATTCTTCAAATTTTGCAACATCTTAAATTTATAAATGTTCAATTAATATATATATTTGATTCAAACACGGTGGGTCTGTTGATTCAGATGCTGTTGGTCAGACACAACACACAGCTGCTCTCGTTGGTTCAAACACCGTGGGTTGTATACAACACAACGTTGTCTGTTGGTTCAAACACCGTATCCTATGTGATAGGGACAGAGAAAGAGGACAAAAATGGATGATGAGGGGTCGCCAATAGGTAGATTAGTTAAATATTTATACATTTAGATTATTATTATTATTATTATTATATGATAGCGTGATTACCAACATGCCAATGAATCACTACAAAATTTATTCCATCAATTCATGAGAGAATGAATCATCATCATCATGCTTAGTTAATCAAATCTTCCCCAAATGAACACGATGGGTTGAAGAACAACAACAACAACGACGAAGGAAGAGGAGGCAGAGTCCATTGAATCAATCAATCATCTTCTCCAACTAGATCGATCGATCCTTTCGGTCACAGAAGCAATTTGGAAATTGCCAAGCAGTTACTGGCGTACTTGTTCATTTTGATACTAAGATGGTCCAATGGAGAATCCACTCCCATCTCCACGAAAGTATCATCGCAAGTCACCAGATCCGTCAATACCGCCGTCAGTGCGCTCTCCATTCTACCAACGTCATTCACGTCGATCGCTTCCGTTGCGGTCCGTAGATCCTCAATCGCCATATCGAAATTCTCCAGGCAAGTATCGTAGCACGAGTCTTCGGCTTTCGTTGAACCAGATTCTTTGTCCAGTTTTTTCAATACCGCAATTGCGTTCTCCACCTCTTTAATCGATTGCTCAATTTCCGTTTTCAGTGCAGAAACAGGATTCACCGTGGATTCATGGATGCTAGACGAAATCGAGGATTGACACAGTTTTGGATTGCTCGTCACATCGCAGATCTGCACCAGTTCGATCGGCTCCCTCGACGATCCCGATTTCGAACTCGATTTGCCCTCGGACTTCTGCGTTCGTTTTCGAGCTACAGACTGCGAAATGTAAACCGGCGGGGTGCTTGGCGTAGGAAGTGGAATAGTAGGGGATTGAAAGAGGGAGATGTTTCGGGGAACGCAAATGGCTATGGCGGGGGAGGAGAAAAGAGAGGAGAGGGCGAGGAGGAGGTGGAGGTGGAGGTGGAGGTGGAAGACATTGTTGATGAGCTCCATTTTTGTTCTGCTGCTGTTCTCTTCCTCCGGCGAAGAAGAAGATGACAAAATTGTAGGGGAAAGGGGCGGTGGAGAGGCGGCTATGGAGGGCATCTACGGCGGATTTGGGCTCTGTAGAAGAAGGGAACAATAGCCATTACAATTGAATCAAGCAACTGCTACAAATAGGTAATCCTCTCCCCGTTCTGAAATTTCTGCTTGCATCTTCACCACAATTTCTTTACGTCTCTTTTTACTATTTATAACATTCACATTCAAATTTAGAAATTTATTGTTGACTTGGTGTATATATCCCTTCTTTCTAATCTCAATGCCCTAAACAATGCTCAATATTACTTAAATTATATATCATACCAAATTTGGTCATACTACAGGTTGAGTAGCCTCAAAACCTGTGTATCTGAGCCATCTTTACCAATCGAGTCTTATCATAGAGATGCAAATGTTCGTTGTTAGGGGAGCAGGGAGCTTGCAAGTAGTGGAGTTGGGTGATGCATGTTACATGAACACAACTCTTATGATATTGTCCACTTTGAGAATAAGCTTTCATGGCTTTGCTTTAGGCTTTCCCAATAAGCCTTATTCCAATGGAGAAAGTATTTTTTGATTATAAACTAAAGAGGATTATTCCCTAACCAACAATGCATACCCGAAATGAAAAGAAAAAGTCCTTGTGGTACCTAAATCAAATTTTAGACGTCGTTATTTATGGTCAGTAAATTCCTTGGAATGAAGAGTAGAGGCATCATATATAGTGAGCTAAGGTTTGACATACAATATTTAATCTATCTTTATAAACTAGTTAATTGAGAATATTAATATTTTATCATGTTCGTTTGCGACTCAATTTTAATCGTAAGTGTATTATACATTTTTATCGGTGAGAGCTAGTCCTCTGATTTGCTTGGGTGATATGATTTTTATCGACGATTCAATAGATCTATCATTTTGAAAATTTGATCAAATATGGACTACACATATTTTTATTATTCACTTATTCTCAAATTAGAATATTAGAAAAGTATATATGTAATTACTTTAGTGTTTATTTTAAGACTTGAACCATAGTTACGAATAATTTGTTTTAAGACTTGAACCATAGTTACGAATAATTTGTGAACGATTGACTTGCATATAATGAATAGATCTGTAAACACAACTTTTCTGCCATGTATAAAAGGGAAAGATGTTGAATAATGAATAAAAATTAAATAAATAAATAATTTAATTAATTAATTTTGTTATAATCTATGTCTGATATTTCAAATTAACATTTAATATTATTTTATATATAAATAGAGAAAACATATATATATTGTATTTAATAAATTAAATATATTAAAAATATATATTTATATTAGGATATGACCAATTGTCACGCTCAGAGTGATAGAACACTAAAAAAACATTAGAGGAAAGAGTAAATTAAAAGCTAATTAAAAGAGGAAGAATCAGAAGCAAAAATGATCCAGGGGCATTCCCCCATTAAACAAAGCTACAAGAACACATATTTACATAATCTATGCATCACATTGAGAACAAGCAACACTGCCATGGGAAAATTGAAATTAACACCCTTCCCTCCCCCCTGCCTTCTCCTACCAATCACCATTACAAAGGAGGCAGAGGGAGAGAGAGAGAGATGGTGGGGGATTCTACCAATTCATGTGAGATTCCTAGTTACCTTTCTTTCAAGACTTTCATCGTCCCTCGTGAAGATCTTCGGAGAAAATTGCTGTCCGAGATACATTGTCGTTGTCAAAAGTGCTTAAACCAGAATAAGGTCCAGAAGAGAACACTGAAGAGGATCCATCGGACTCAAAAGTTGTCGACGACTGTCTAAGATTGGTTCGGTTGTTGGAGGATGGTGCCACCATGGAGTCTTGGTATTCTGTCACACGCTGCACCATTTTAAGAGACTGTACAACTTCGCCCATTGTCGGACGTTGGCCAGCCTCAGGAGCGACGCAGGCTGCAGCAATGGTACACACCCGCACAAAATCTTCCTTTGGATACTTTCCTCCAAGTCGTGGATCAGCAAGTTCTTCCAACCGTTCCTTGTCTCTCAAAATCGGCCTTGCCTGAAATGAATAGAACCCACGCATCTTAGCTTCCAACAATACACTAATTTTGCAAAGATTAAACCAGAAAGACACAGCAGCAAGCACATTTATCAAAATATCAAATGATGATAAGAATGAGAATTGCTCCAAGAAAACGCACCCACGTGACCAGGTTCTCTTGTCCTGATGGTTGTGACATATCTACAGGTTTCCTTCCGGTAAGCAACTCGAGAAGTACAACTCCGTAGCTATAAACGTCACTTTTAATAAGTAGATGGCCAGTCATTGCATACTCGGGGGCGACGTACCTGAGAGGGAACTATATTCCATCAAAATCCCAAGATTCAATTTACAAGAATTGACTACTTTGAGAGGTGGAATGAGACAAACCCAAATGTGCCCATCACACGAGTAGAAAGGTAATTAGCTCTGCCTTCCGGTGCTTGTTTAGCAAGACCGAAGTCGGCAACTTTGGCATGGAAGTTGTTCTCGAGCAATATATTCGATGCCTTAAAGTCTCGGTGTATCACACACGGTTGTGAGTCTTCGTGAAGGTAAGCAAGCCCTCGAGCAGCATCCAGTGCAATCTTCATCCTGGTGTCCCAATCCAAAGGACAATTAACACCCAAAGGACCTGGGAAAAAACATAAACTTGCCGACATGTTGTAAACAAATATTTTAAACTCAATATAAATTGCCTTCATTCAAAGGATCATCAAATACTAGTCCGCTCAGAAGAAAGAGAGAGTGGTTACCATGGAGCCAGGCCTCCAAGCTTCCATTTGGAACAAGTTCATAGCATAGCAGGTTTTGTGAAGAGTCGCGGTTACAGTAGTAGCCAACGAGTTTGATGAGATTTCGATGATGCAACCGGCTAAGCATCTCAACCTCAACCAAAAACTCCTTGTCGCCTTGTTGCCCACCACTTGAAAGCCTCTTGATTGCAACGGCTGTGCCATCACTTAAGACACCCTTATAAACCCTGCCAAAACCACCCTCCCCCAGTATGCTTGCTGCTTCAAAGTTATGAGTTGCTTCTTTAAGCTCTTCATAAGTTAGAAATCTCATACTAGATGGATGAGAGAAAGATCCTACCCCTGGCGCTTTGTCCTCGACCCTTGATTTTTCTGAGGTGTAAGAAGAATGGATGAATATACAGTTGACATAGAAAGTAAAAAGAAATGACATCAGAAGTTTATAGAAATTGTAGAAACGATGATATCAACGATGTCGCATTGAATAGAATTCAGAACCATTTATTAGTTTTATGAGGATTGAGAAGCAAAATTCTTACATAATGTTGTGAAAACCACAACTTAACTCATTTACGCTCATGTTGTACGACCAGTGCTTCATAAGATCTTAAATTTTACCTCCTATTTGGCAATTCTTACTAACCTTATTGCCATGAAATCTAGTGGATAATATGAGCCTTGTACTATGTTCCATACTTCATCACAAAATGAAGTAAGCTTTAAGTGTCTGTGGGTTCGAGGTGGCGACGGAGATATTCTTCAAAAGCTAGGTATAAACTATACAGAGGAAAGAAATTAAGGACAAAGTCGTTTAAAATTTTACACATGTACCTGGTACTAATGGAGGTGCTTCAGTTTTCCCACGATGAGATTTGCATAAACAAATTATCAACACAAATAGAATGGCAAGGAACAGAAAACCAGCGCCAATACCAAGAAGTGTCAGATTAGAATGGTGTCCTTTACTAGGAGAACTGAGTGATGTTGAGGCTGGAAAATGATATGCTGGAGCTTCTATTGGTGATGCAGAAGCTAGAGGAGCTGTAGAACAAATGAAAATATAATAACATAATAACTTGAAAGTGACTGCAAATACTCACATCAGCTACAACCTAAGGGCTTAATAGAATGAAACAGCAAAAAGATTAATATCCTCAAAAGCAACAGCTGCAAGCAGAGGGTACACTAATCCCTCAATTATTCATACATTACTTTTTTTTTTTTTTTAATAAGTATTCATACATTACTAATTTATAGCCTTTCTGTACTACAATGACATTGAGAGCAGTTTTTTTATAGCCTGGATTTGAATTAAGAGCTGTTGATGAATTTTCATTTTGAACAGCATAATCGTTCGGGTTCAAGAGATTAAGTAAAAAATATCGGCTTCCTCTGGAGTGCATTTAAAGATACATACTTAAAACATGAAACATACACATCTAGGTAGTCTCCCAAAAAACACAGAGTGCACAGTTCTAATTCTCCATCAACAATATAGTTCACTGCAAACCAAATTCTATATAAGTTGCAAATTACCAAAAACAAAATGTTCTATAAAAGCTAGAGCTAAGGTAAGAATACCATTAGCAGCATGCACGGTTAAATAATTGATCGAAATATTAGATGTACCTTCAGAAGGAGGCGGAGGCTTAAACCAGGTAATATTGAGAAGACTGTAATCACCAACCTGTGTCGGGTCTAGACGAACCTTGTGCATTATAAGTGAAGAGTTTATTGCAGTCACATCAACTGCAGAAAAGCTGATCCCAGAGTGGGGAGTAATGTCCATTGAGATATTTAACCTCGATAAACTAAGTACATAAAAGTTTATCAGCTCAATCTGAGAGACTTGTAAACGAAGTTCCGAAGCCAACTCTTCGAGAAAAAGTTTCCAATTAGGATTCTGTGATACATTCAAGAGGAGGAGATCGATTTTTAGGGGATAGACACAATGGCAGTCATCACCGCTTCCTCGCTTCTGCACCATGTCAGGTTTGCAACAGTCTGCTAAATGATGAATAAAACCAGGAGCATGCCTCAAATAAGTGTGATCATCAACAAATAAAATTAATCAAAGTAGCTCATTTTTAATTCAAAGACAATTGCAATAAAGAAAATATCAGAAAACAAGTCAGAAATAAAATCCAGTATACGACTTACCTGCTGCATTAGGGGAAAGTGGTGGCTGAGGTAAGCCAGAGGGAATAGCGCCAGCACTGGACTGTATGGGAGCAATGTTTTCAAGGCTACCACCAGGAGGAGCTGATCCACTCTTCATCAGTGGTTTTGAAAAACTTGAACTTGTGGGTGGGTGACCAGAAGTGATAAG